ATTTTAACGAGAAAAGATACCTGAGGTTAACGCTTGTTTATTGGAATATTGCAACATTACTGAGTTTCATTCGACTGATAAATATCAGTATGATATAATTCTATTGAAACCTTGCGCATGCGAGATTCAGCTGATGAACCTTCCGCACGAGACAGGAAATGACGTAAAGTGAAAACCAGTAGTTTGAAAAATATGCAAGACATACCCGTGACAGCAAAGACTGCTTTACTCTTGGTGCCCACCCCAGATGTAACACCGGCCATCTCAATACGATATTGTGTAACTGGCTCCAGGTTTTTCAGAACGGCTTTGAAATCGTACTTGCCAGCCGTCTCATTAGAATAACCATCAGAGGTCCATGCCTTTTTATAATAGATAACATATGATTGAATCTGACCATGCCGCGCATGCTCACGTATTGGTAGCCAGGTGACCGTTATTTTATTGCCTATTACCATTGCTGTTACGTTCTGTGGTCCTTCACTAGGGACTAGAGAACAAAACAACCAAATTAAAACTGATATAGACCCCTTGCATTTTACTCAAAGCAGCTCAATTTGAAGGACAAAACCAAAAGAATTTCAATCTCCTGCGAATAGTCCCCTTCACAGTTCCCTGCGCCATCTTGAAAGGCAGCCGTGCCGTTGCATCGAAACGAGACTACCGGTGAGCTTGGAATGATAGAGACCTTTTTTAACACCTTGGACAATTATTCACATGTCTCGATCATTGTAAGCTCACCGTTCGTCTCGCTTCGATGCAAAGGCACGGCTACCTTTCAAGATGGCGCAGGGAACTGTGAAAGGGACTATTGGAAACCTATTGTTAGGTCCTCTAAATTGAGATGCATTCCGACCATTTGCAAGTGGTCTAAAGGATGGCACAACTGAAAAAGGATGTCCTGAAAGACTCAACTCACCATCCTCTTTAGTTCTCACGCTTGTACTTTGACTTCGTCTGTAGTCGCCGAAACTTGAGATATTTCCATTTGTGCTTATTGCGACCTGCACGGTATAGTTGGTGTACTTCATTAACCCAGTCACTACCAAAGAGTTCTGGGATATATTGGTGGTAAATACTGTAGCATTAAGAGGTAGGCCATCTGGCACACATATGATGAGGTACTCAGTAACAGGGGAGTTGACAGATGATTGAGGATAAGGACCCCATTGTACTGTTATGGCTGTCGAATTAATGGGTTGTGCTGAGACTCCATTCCATTGCGGAATAACTGGAACTAAGACAAAACTACAAAGTTTATCATGATAACGTGAGTGTCTTACTTTTACTTACATTCTTACCACTATTACCACTAATACTGTTACAACCGCCTCTGCCGCCTCCGACACCACCACCAACTACCACTAATACTGTCACAACCGCCTCTGCCGCCTCCGACACCACCACCAACTACCACTAATACTGTCACCACCGCCTCTGCCGCCTCCGACACTATGACCAACACTATTGCTAAAACCACTATAGAAATATCCTCCCATACACACATAAGCAAGACCACGAGTACACCTCTCCACTAACGACAACCCATTTCTGATATCTTGTTAAATTTTTAACTTATCCATTTACTTACTTTTAGTGAGGTCGTCCTCGAAGATAAAATATCGAGCTTTAAATCCAACCCATCTAGACGCAGCTCTCTCTGAGAAGAACCTGAGTTTAGCAGAACCTTGAGACACCCACGTGAAGAATCGCTTAACTCCACACTCTTGACCAACTTCCTTTCCGTCGTCGTTTTCAAATGACAAAGAAAATTTTCTACAAGACAAAGACATGTCTATAAGCAGAGGCATACCCAGGTTATTTGAAAGGATTGTGGGCTCTTACGTTCAAAGTTAGTCGTATCAAATTCTGCATTTTTGGCATTTCGTCCATCTAAATTTTGGGATTATACAAAATAGACCTTGTTCACTGTTTTCCCATTTCAAACCCTTTATAATCATTTGGCTTTGTTTAACGGTTGCACATGAGAAGACACATTAATATGGATACAACTCAAACAAATAATCTTATACTCAAGAGAATGATACGTGGTCTCAATGGGCAAAACAGTACGCTCAAGTGGATTTGGTCCATTATCATTGAGAGGATTGCAACCTCCTCATCCTACCCATTCGATCAGCCTTTGTCTAGGTATAAAATATTCATAAACAAGGCAGAGAAGTTTTTCTTCAAAATACAAGTGTCAAACTAAGAAGTGGTAATACGAAACTGGTGGGGAGAGAGGGTGTGAGAGAGAGGGACGAGAGGTAGTGTGTGTCGTCTGAAAGTTTGAAGAAAACGATAGATTATAATTTTCTTTAAATGTCAAAACTAGATCATTTAAAACGCACATCGGCGTCAACAAAGAAATTTAAGAATCTCGGCCAAAAATATACTCACGAGCATCGAGCACTTATCGGTATACTGAGGTGTTCCACTATTACAACAATGACACCAGATGAAGAAGGAGCCGTGAAGTTCCACTGACATTTTGAGTTCCAGTAAATACGGGTTGGATATCCAGGGCTTGTTAGTGTTCCACTCCTATCATTAATGGATTTGCCACAGCCTTAAGGTAAAAAGCCATTGATTTTAAAAAGGTGTCCTTAATTTTCAAAAACCCTATTACACTTATTGAAAAGAAATTAGCCCAATTATTTCATTACAAAGTAAATGACTAAGGATAAGCGAACGCCATGAAAAGGATCGAGGCTGGTCCGATCTGGTCTAAACTGGGTTTCTTATTAAAATACTTCTAAATTTTAATTGGGATTTGCTAGAACACAGTTGAATTTTGCTTGATTACTAATGTAAGTATTTTCAAATAATGTTCATTATGACTTTTATAACCGAATGGAAACGCCCGAATATTTCTTTTCCATGATTTTTTGAATTTGATCTATTGTGTAACCTTAACAAAATGAGCATAGAAACTACTAGAAGTAAATATTGATAAGAAGAAAAAAAAACCCGAGAAAATCTTACCTCCTTTGTTTCCACAGTAGCGCATGTAACATGCAGGGGTACTATGCAGTTGATAAACATAAAATCTACCACATTTGCGAACTTTAATGGTAACTTTCCACCTACAGCAATCTTCGAACCAGTGGAAGCAGACAGTTCTCATGACGATGCCATCTTGGACCAAAGGGTGTGTTCCATCCATCCAACCAGGCGAGGCTGTACCGCACCTACGCTTATCGACGCATGATGTAGCAATTTGTGTGCCAGCCTCTCCCCAAAAACGATACCACTTAGGAATGGCCATGAGATGTCGATCACAGTAGTTATTCCCTGGAGCACCTTGAGCTCGTGTCCATGATGTCAAATTATTATAATAATGGCATTCTAAAAAGAACAAGAAAGGTGCTGATCATGATTTAATCTCGTAAATTCATGAGCTTTCTACTCAACGAGATCACAATGACTACAGTCACGCTTTCTTGGCTTTGTAAATCTTGTCATTCGTGACTGCAATAAATAGTCTGTAGACCCCTTGAAGCACTTTGGAATGCAGCTCAATCTGGGGGACTAAACAATAGGTTCCAATTCTCAGGAGATTAGAATTCTTTAGTTTTGTCCCCCAGATTGAGCTGCTTTGACGTCACATGCAAGGGATCTATAGTAATATACATCAGGACTGATTCCCTTGCTTTCCTCTAGTATTCCCCCTTTTCTTTCTGGGCACTGGTATAAGGTAGCTTCGGTCCGGTTTACATGAAGGTAGGTTGTCCCTACTGCTAGGGAAAACGCTTTTATTTCTGGTGTTCACTTGCAAACAAAAGAAAACAATTTCCCCTAACATCGGGGTTACCATACCCATTCATAAAAAAGGTCCATTATTAAAGCATTTCATATACATTATTTTAAGGGTGCAGAATTATTTCCTTGCGTTGTAAATATAATGTGCAAAATGCTATCTGGGAAATAAAAGATCTTGAAGAAACACATTACGTGAAAATATTAGCTCAACGATTCAATATTAGAATTCTATCCTAAATCAAGAAAAGAAAGGATACAGCATGGCTCACAAAAGGAAATCTTTTCTTACCTCCTTTGAATGTCGTTATGTTCAACTTTGCACTCCCATATAATGATAATGATATGTTATTTCTTTCAATTAATGCCACTACTTGTAACTCGTACTCTGTTCCTCCAGTCAGCCCAGCTATTGTGATGTTGGCAGCGTCAGGTTTTGTAAGTACGTACGAAGTGCTGTGTAGATAGTCAAGTGGCTTGTACAACACGACGTATCCGTAAATATTTTGATCAGGTTTCAAGGCAGAACTATTTAGATGTGTCCAAGATACTTGAATTGCAGATTTACTTTTGACATGACCATTGATATTCCACTGACTTGTTGTGGGAGCTGAAATGACAATGTAAGAAAATATCATTAACTGGTTTGTCCAGTTCTGTATCCGTTGGCCCTCCGCTAGAATAAATGATAAAAAAGAGAGACATCCAATATGTATACGTACCATTATCCAGACTTTCTGTAATCACGGCAAATCGAAGCTTAAATCCTGACATTTTATTCCAGTACACTGATTCGTACTGGATTTTTGTTTGCAATGAAGTTCTCTTAGTGACAAACAAGTAAAATGGATCTCTCTTGCGACAAAAGGTGTGTCTTTCGTTTTCCGCAACAATGGTTAGATTATTAGACCTATTTCAAAAACAATAGAAACCGTCAAACAGGAAAAGATAATTAAGCAATTTGTTTTAGGAAGAAAGCTTTGAAACTGTCCAACTTATATAGCTTCATATTAACGAACTTTTCAAGTGACAACTAACCAATTTTCAGCCTTTATTTCTAGGGTGCACAACAATTCTTAGAACTTAGAACACTCCAGTTTCCAGAGATTAGCCTCGAATTTGAGTAGAATATTGATATGTTTTCCAGTAAATGTCTGTGGAATGGCAAAGAGTGTGACTGTGTTGTTGAAGTTGTGCATTCTTTACTCAGCGTTTACTTAATATTTTTGAACATTTTGACGCTAATCAAAAATGGGCCTAACCCCAGTAAATGAGTTTGTAATCAAGGAATGCAGCAGCGGTATTCCTGCTGTGGGATCTTTGGGATAAAACTTACGAACAGCCTTCGAAACTGAGTGTCATGTCTTCAAAGTACAGCAGTATGTTCCCAACAAATGGTGACTTGATGGTCCATTGACAGGTGATTGGCTCCATGTAGTTGGGATATCCTGGGCTGGTTATCTGGCCTGTCAGATTAGTGATATCACCACCACATTCTGTGAGAACATTAATTAAAGTATGATCGATTCAGATTTAAAAACCATGTTTACCAAGATGGTTTGTTCCATGACGTTATAGTAAGGTGTTCCTGGCTCCAGTGGAGCTGTTACAAAGAAATGTCCATGCACCATGAAAACCTTCTTGAACCCTGATGTAAACAAATCCCTTAGACTATGTATTGCAGGAGGGGTTTTTCATGTCGACATGAATTAAAAATGTAGATGTTAATTAAATTCTTTTAAATCTTTCGTTATTTGATACCAACAAAGTCAAGCAATAAATAAATGGCGGCCATGTTGGTGGTATTTGCAAAGCAAGGTAATGAGGAATCAAACACTGCCAACGCACATGGACGGGATGAAGTAAAAAATGAAGAACAAAAATAAAGTGGAGCGGTTTTGTATAAATGGGAAACGTACGGTATGTCATACGTACGCAGTACAACATACCGAAACATTTAAGTGGCTTTCTAATTTCTAACCAATCATAACGCGTGGTTACAGTTTCGCCGTTAACATAAGATACAGTACAGCTGCAGTACACCTACTATTATGCTGCATAGTTTCCCATTCCATTCATACAAAAACTGCTTTATACGGCCTAAAAATCATCGACTACCTCGCTAACCATTTTAGAGTCTTAAGGAATACCGTACGTTTCCCACCTGCCATATATTAAACCTAATGCAGCGATTTTCATCACTCAGTAAACTGAACTTACTTGAAGGATTATTTAAAGGACCTGCAAAGATAATCAAAAACGAAAGTTAACTCGTACGTAAGTTGTCATGTTCCAAGTTAAGACTACCGTTTAACTAGGGTATTTTGATCACCTTCTATATGTAACATATGAAGGGCTGCATGCGAGTTAGATAACTCATGGGTAATTTGTAAAAGGACCTATCGTATTATGAAACAACAAATCGAGGCAGTACCACAATAGATTAATTCTATTGTTTGACACTCAAAGGTTCTTTTGGTCCATGTGAACGAGTGCTAATCCTGTGAAAGGGACTATTGTAGGATTTATTTGTAGGTGCACAGGAGCTGCTGCGCGCCCTGATTTTGGGGAATAACTGTAGTCTAACAGCCAATCAGAAAAGAAGGTTTGAACAATGGATGACAATTTCTGACTTTTTCCAGGGTTTTACCCCCAAAGTGTTTGAGCATGATAGCCTACCTTTTCCGTTTCCACAGTACCTTCCTGGACATACTGGTACTGAAGGCAACTCGTAGATGTAGAAACCATTGCACTTTCGAATCCAGATATTCACTACATAATAACAACAGTCTGCACTCCAGTGAAAACAAACTCGACGGCGAGCAAGAGTTAAATTGCCAGTAGGATGAGAACCATTTAACCATCCCTGAAGAACAGTTGAACAGCGGAATATAGGAACACAAGATGATGCCATTTTATCTCCGGCGTCCCCGGTGAAACGATACCAACCAGCAGTAAAATTACCATAATCGCCGCGATCGCAAAATCGTTGTTCAATATTTACAGCTCTTTGTGCGCGGTCTGGGCTGCTTAGATTTTTATAATTGCTGCATTCTGAAATTACGGAAAAACGAATAAATAAATCTTGAATTATATTATCGTCCTTTCCTCTCTCCTTCCCTTCGTCTTTCATCCCTCCCACCTTCCCTTGCTTTGTCATTCCCTCCATCTTAGTAAAGAGTAAATCAAAACATTTAGCAGCCCTCTGATATGTTAGAGACGTCGTCATGATGATTGCCAGCCTTCAAAGATTGAGACGCGAATATCTCCCCCGTCCTTAGAAGATAACATGTAAAAAAATCCAGAGGAAAGATGATTATTCTGTTTGTAGCTTTTTTAGCAAGACTCACTGATTTCTAGGGAAGAAATTATTGCGACCTTTATCCACCTTCGTATATCAATCCCCATGCTTTAAGGTTATTCTATTTTTAAGCCAAGCCGGGCTCCATGAATTAGATAGAATTCGGGCGAAATCCCTTCTAATTCTAACCCTATACCCAGAATGCCTTTAAGGGATAAAGATCATCAGTTGCCATGCCCAATTGGTCACGACTCAGGTACCTCTTAGATGTCATTTTCAAAATTTCCAACGAGCTTCCGAACCCTTTTATATATAGGAGACCCCCCGTCCCGCCCAATGGAGACGGGAACATAACTACACTAACCATGACCCGATGGAATGTCACTGCCTGATCTGCTACTCATTCCTTCTGGTAGAACTTTACTTCCGTGCGCTTTGTGCTTGTCTCCAGGAGTGACAGTTAATTCAGAAGTTTCAGCTAAGTCTTCAGCGTTGCCATTTTTGTTTACTTTTTGCGCCACAGTCACTGAAATGACAAAAGAGAGTTATGTTTGAAGTAAAGTTCAACAACATAACATTCTTGTGTTCCTAAGGGCATTAATGCTGGCTAGCAGCTGCTTTATAAGAAAGAAATTAGATTTTATGAAAGATAGCACAAGCCAAGATAATCTACGAAATCTCAGTCTTTTTTCACGCAGGTGTATAAAGACTTTTTCCACTCTTCAACCAGTAAAAAACAATGTTCTTTGAAGGCGACAAATTAGTTGTAGTATGTTTGGTTTTATTCAAATATTATTACGAAAATATTAATTTTTTCTCCAGTTACGAAAAAAAAAAMCAATTTCTCTTAATTTTTCCTAGGTTTTGGAGAAAATTGTACCTAGTCGGAGCAGATGCAAATATACAGATCTGCTAATTTATTTATCAAAGCCTTTAATTATCAGTTGCAACGTTTAGACTCGTCTCAGTAGAATCGAGCAGCGTGACATGACTGCTATCCAAAGTACATCATATTTTGATGAGCGTTGACGAAAAAGTTTTAGAAAGCGCAATATAATCTTTATATAATGTGAAATACTTTTTTTTCAAGAAGTATGATTTCGTAGTGTTCTGTAGTCTTGGGTAAGGAATGAAGCTTATACTTCCGTGTGTAATTTGGATTCCGTTACGTCATTATTTTCCCCTCCTGGTTTATCGGAATACCACATCTTGTTCTACGCCACAGATGTAATCGGGCTAAATTCCTAACTGTATTTTTTTAATGGTTTGATCCAAGCTGTTTTCAGGGCTAAGACCATTTTTTTCCTATCGCTCGTAAGTGGAACTCTTGAACAATGATAAAAGCTAAATAACAAGACTATAATCCTGTATAAGGCTGCGGAAATCAAACCTAATACTAACTTCAAAATTATCTTACCTTGCAATGATAGAAGCACTGCAAAGGCGACAGGAACTACGAGAAACTGTGTCACCAACATCTTGGAACAGTTTTGTTATTTTGAAACAATTATCAGAATGACGAAAGTCCATATAGCGGGGAGACTGCTTGGTCAAATGTGTCACAAATTGCTCCGAGTTGGATGGTATGAGATTAAAGTTGACAGCAGACGAAGACCATGACGTGACCTACTAATGCTATTTCATTACACAGGATGTTATTAGCAAGCCAAGGGAATCAAACTGCATTGCGATTGGATAACAGTATTGCGCGCAGTCCAAAGGTAACACTGCTCGAATCCAACCTCAATGTGACCAAACTAACAAGCTAGTGTCACATTTATTAAGGAAGATTTTGTTCGGTTACTGAACAGGAATAAATTAAAAGCGCTAATACTGTTATACTAATAGGAATTATGTTTACCAGGGTGGTTTGTTGACGTTATAGTAAGATCCTCATGGTGCCAGTGAAGTTGTAACAAAGACTTGTCTATGAACCATGGAGACCTTCTTGGATGCTTATGTAAACAAAGCCCTTAGACAATCGTAGTGTTTTGACAAAGAAGGGCTTTTTCGTGTTGACATGGATGTTAATTAAATTTTTTTAAATCAAATGTTTTCAATTATTTCCGTTTTGAAGATTTAATAAATAAAGATAGATGACAATAATCATAATCATCATGCCATCATCATCAAAATTATCACCATTATCAT